ATAGTGACTGTGTCCATATTTTTAAAATCTTCATTCACTGATTTAATGTAAGGGGATTATTAAAGGAAGAAATGGCCGTAACTTGGAAACTAGAGCTGATTTTCAAACTCTAGCTTGAAAATGGAAAAATGTTTGACTTCTTGACTAAAAAATATGTCTAATTGCACTATTCAAAATGAATGGTGACTATGCATTCCTGTGTCCTTCACAACTAGAGAGAAAAAAGACTCTAAAAATGAGAAAGATGAGCTAAGTATTCTACATATTTAGGAAACAACAAAAAGTCAAGTCTGTGAATTAAAAAAAAATCTATAAGCAAGATAAAACAAAACCCCATTTATGTTTCACTTAGAATTTAGGCAGAAATGAAAAAATAAGCTAGACATTGCTGGCAGGAAAAATTAAAAACAGAACTCATCTATGTTACAGCAGAGAGACAAATGAATACTTTCATTCAGAATACAGTTCCCTTTCTATGGATTAAACTCTCCTTCCTGGTTTTAAACCCCCTGAGGTCTCAAGAGGCTTTTATTTTTACCCCAGATCATCTTCTCCACTGAAATACTTGTCATTCTCATACAACTTAGCTTCTAGTTTTGGGCTATTCTGTCATCCTCACTTGTGCAGTCAGACAGCGTGGACATCTGAAGGCAGGTGGCCATGCCTCACCCTGTACCATGCCCTCCTCAGGGCAACAACTGTACTGAACATCAGGAGCTTGGAGAGAGGCTAAGAGTCTTGCATATCCTTCAACTGAGGCCTCACCTACATATTAGCCAAGTTATTTTCTGAACTGGAGTTTCATCAGCTGTAGAATGGGGACAATCACACCACCAACCTCTTGGATTTGTGGGCAGATGGAAGGAAATAATTCACAAGTACTTAGCAGAGCGCTTGGTACCCAGAAGCCCACAGTCACGACAGCCTATCACCATGGCTGCTCCATCCACAGTTGCTGGCCACCACAGATAATCTGGAATCTTTGACCCAGTCCAGAGGCAAAATGTTGTTATGAAATTAGGAAGTCACATATATTTTTAAATTCTTTTTTTAATATTGGAGTATAGCCAGGTAGCAATGTTATGATCATTTCAGGGGGACAGCAAAGGGACTCAGCTATACATGTATATGTACCCATTTTCCCCCAAACTCCCCTCCCATCCAGGCTGCCACATAACATTGAGCAGAGTTCCCTATGCTATACAGTAGAACCTTGTTGGTTATCTGTTTTAAATATAGCAGTGTGTACATGTCGATCCCAGACTCCCTAACTATCCCTCCCCCCATTTCTATTCCCCTGGCAACCATAAGTTCACTCTCTGAGTCTGTTTCTGTTTTGTAGATAAGTTCATTTGAATAATTTCTTTTCAGATTCCACATATAAGGGATGTCATGCAATATTTCTCCTCTGTCTGACTTATTTCACTCAGAATGACAATCTTTAGGTCTATCCATGTTGCTGAGAGTGGCATTATTTCATTTTTTAATGGCTGAGTAATATTCTATTGTGTATATGTACCATATCTTATTTATCCATTCCTTTGTCAATGGACATTTAGGTTACCTCCATGTCTTGGCCATTGAAAACAGTGCTACAGTGAACATTAGGGTGCATGCATCCCTTTGGACCATGTTTTTGTCTGGGTATATCCCCAGGAGTGGGGTTGCAGGGTCATATAGCTTTATTTTTACTTTTTCTAAGGAACCTCCATACTGTTCACCATAGTGACTATACCAATTTACACTCCTACCAACAGTGTAGGAGGGTTCCCTTCTCTCCACACCCTTTTCAGCATTTATTGTTTGTGGATTTTTTGATGATAGCCATTTAGACTGGTGTGAGGTGATATCTCATTGTAGTTTTGATTTGCATTTCTCTAATAGTTAGAGTATCTTTTCATGGGCCTTTCAGCCATCTGTATGTGTAAGTCACGTATTTTATATCTGCCCCTTTAGGTAGATGGTCTTTTCTTGCCTGGGGAATCTACTATATTTTCTTTTTTTTTTTTAATTCACATTTTAATACCTTGGAACTCAAGATGTGTCTTCCAATCTAATCCTCTAAGTAGCTGAAAGATGTTTTGTTATCTTTGATTCTATCAAATATAGCATGCATTTTGCAGATTCTTTGAAGGCAGAGATTTAGAAATAGAGTACTCAGAAGCCTCCATTTATTTTTCTATGTTGCTCGTCATGCTTTTAACTCTGCCCCGGGAGTCCCAGCTTCAGAGTGCACTATTATCCTCTAAATCCTGCAGACAAAGGGACACTGCTTATTTCACCATGTACGTGATTTTTTTAACCCATTGAAACCACTTCAAATGGAAAGAAATTCACATTGATATCTAATACTCAGAAGGCAGAAAGCTCTGGTAATTAGAGCTCTCTCACAGTTAAAACCTATTTGGCCACTACTGTCTTGAAAAGCCCTAAAGAGGTTGGTAGATGTCCTGGTTTTTCCAAAACATGTATGAGTTTTGCCTGTTGTCCCAGCATAATTATTAACACCAACTCCTTTCATTCTCAGTAGTCCCCTGGTTGGGATGATAAATTATATGATTACCCAACATGAAGGCCAACAAATGTCTGAAATTTATGGCTTTAATTTCTTCTATTTTAATTTTGTCTTTGTTATCTGTAAAACTGGGCTTTTAGGCAATCAATTATCTGTGTGGCTCAGGCAGTGTTCATTCCTTCAGATTTTTACTGAACACTGGTTATACAGTGAGAAGCATACCACACATGGCCTTAAGTCATTGAGTTTACAATTTAGTAGAACAAACAAACATTGGGTAATTATATAGTGAAAACATCACAATGCCTCAGGAGAGGTACAAGATGCTATGACTGCCTATAAAATATAACACTTGGGGAGGCAAGGTAGGACACATCAGCAGTTGAAATACATCTGGATTGTTTTTTGATCCCAAGAGGATGCCATCTTATTTTAACCCTGCATTCATAATGTCATTGTGTCCGCCTTCCATGGTGAGGAGACAGTTCAGTACCTCTGAAGATGAGTTCTAAGTAATAATCGTGAGTCTGTAAAAAGCAAGAAGCAGAAACTTAATCCTTGATTTCTTATTTTAAGTGACAAAACCATGACAGCAAAAGCGAATAAGGGAGAGAAGGACAGAACAAAGCTGCTTGGTATTGTTAAGTTTCTTGAGGGTGAAAATTGTGTCACATATTCGGTTTTGTTTTTCTCCTGAATTCTTCTCAGAATATGGTTCTAAGCACATGGCAAAAAGGCTCAGAGCATCTTGTGATGACTGAGAAAATGAAACTCAGAGAGAGAAGGCACAGAACTCAGATTCAAACAGAGGAGGGAGAAAGTGAAAAGGTGTCCTCTGGGGTTTCTCATAGTCTCTGCTTCCTGTCTGAGATCTGCCATGTCAGCGCCCCACACGGACTGTGGGTTGGCAATCTAGGGGAGGATGAGTGAGCATGAAGACTCTGAGAGGGATTCTATAGGCTACAAATAGGCAAAGTTTTTCCTAGGAAGGAACTGGGTGGTGGCTACCAAAAAGCCAGTATGGGAGAAAGTGCTCTTGTCAACAGGATTCCCAGTTATTGAGAAAAACACCAGGTGTGTAAATTTTACTTCAGAGATCGTACATGATTAACCGGTCTGCTTTCCATTTATCCACTGCCTAGAGAGCACATTTTCAATACAAATGGGCCCTTCCAAAAATAGAAAATTAAATAATAATTATGTTAAGTGCCAAGGCCAAAGAGAAAAAAAAAAAGGATTAGTCTACAGTACTTGCACAGAGAGTCTATAAATTATGATGCTACATTTTTAACCAAGGATCTGTACTAGTTCTAATAAATTCTAGATGTTAAATAGTGGTGGGGAAATAATCGATCTAGCCAAATGCTTAGTAAATGAGACATAAAAACTCAGCAGATTCTTCAAGGATTCGAGATGACAGTGGCAGAGTCACATGTGTTGATTGTTCATTTAATGATGTCTAATGTATTATGGCATATATTTCATATGTGTAATAAATGCAGATTAGTAGACAGAGCTCTGATGCTAGGATGAGAGAGATCTAGGTTTGAATCTGGCAACACTGTTTGTCAGGGTTTCTCCTTGGTGAATCTTTGAGCCATATTTTTCTCATCTGAAGAATGGGAATATTGTAATGAAGTGTGGAGTCCTCTTTAAGTTTTGAGAATTGAATAGGATAATACATGAAAGTACCTTGCGGTGCCTGGCATATGGAAACCCAGTTAAATAGTAGCTGCTTTGATGGTGATTAGGTTCAAAATTCTTAAAAAGCCCCTAGATGATAATTTAATGTCTCCAAATCACAAAATCTCAGATTTAATACTGGTCTAACTATACCTGCTCTGCTCATTTATCACTTACAATAGAGATCAAGTGTGATACTATATATAGGAAATTGCCATTAAAACTATCAACTCCTTTATAAATATCAAGTATTATCCTTTTCTCTCTATTGTCTGTTTGGGTTTATAGCTACTTGTGTTATTTGTTTGTCTTTGACACAAATGCCCCAAGTGAAAGAGATACATTGCTTTTGTTGACTTGTCTGCAGCACACCCACCCCAGGGACTCACTATAGGGTGGATGATAGAAGTTGGGACTCAAATTTTCTCTCCAAAGAATCTTCTTCCTACCCATTCTATATCTTTCCCTTCATGCACTTTCTTCATTTCTATTTCAATTAATTCATTTAATATTTATTAAGCCCCCAGATGTCATTTTTCCTTCTCTTTGTCTAGGCTTAGTTATAAACAGTACCAATACTCATTAATTCTGATCTTGTTGTTTACTAATGGTGACCTTGGGCAAATTAAGCTCAATGTGCTCAGTATTACTTTTATTTGAAAAATGGGGACATCTACCTCCAGGATTGCTATAAGAATTAGGTAAGAGTTAGATGTCATGTTCCATCAGGACCTTTGAATGCAGCAGGTTGTGCATGCCCTCCTGTGCATTCAGCCCAAGGCTGCCCGTGGACTTGACTGACCTGTGAATGATGCGCTGGCTCTGCAGGTAGTCCAAGGCCATGGCCAGCTCACAGATGAAGAGCTTCACAGTGTCTTCCTGGAAGCGGACGTTCTGCTGCAGGTGGTAACGCAGGTCCCCGCCCAGCAGGAGGTCCACCACCATGAACATGTCTTCCTCATCTTGGAAGGAATACCTAGAAAGGAATTAGAAATGCAAGTGGGTTAAATACATTTACACACTAAAGAAGCCTAGAGGCAAAGGACACCTTGCAGATCTGAGCCAAGCTTTCCTGAGCTAAGAATCCAGGCCTTGGGAGTACTGGTCTATTACTTGTTTTAGGTCCTCAGTTTCTACATGTGTAAAATGCAGATAAGAAGATCTTCCACATTTGATTATAGTAAAGACTAAATATGATGAGTGTAACTTTTTTTTTTTTGGTGGTGGTGTGGCTTCCATGGTGGCTCAGATGGTAAAGAATCTGCCTGCAATGCTGGAGACCTGGGTTTGATCTCTGGGTTGGGAAGATCCCTGGAGAAGAGAATGGCTACCCACTCTAGTATTCTTGCCTGGAAAATTCTGTGGACAGAGGAGTCTGGTGGGCTACAATCTATGGGGTCACAAAGAGTCAGACACGAATGAATAACTAACACTTTACTTTTAACTAAAGACTAAATATGACGAGTGTAGCATTTTTAAAATTTATTTGAATTGCAGGATCATTTATGCTGTACAACACACATCAGCCATAAATATAAATATATCCCTTCCCTCTTAAACCTTCTTCCCACTCCACCCTTCTAGGTTGTCACAGAACATTGAGCTCAGCTCCCTGCGTTATACAACAGCTTCCTACTAGCTATTTTATTAATACATATGGTAATATATGTCTCAATACTACAATGAGTATAATATTTAATGTTATTCCTGGCATATAATAAGCACCCATTAACCATAAGTCTACAGAGCTATAAAGCCCAGAAAATGAAGAAAACTCCATTTATTCACCTGTCATTAACAATCATATCCTGAATACACTGCTACAGGAGGTCCATAAAACACGAGTCATGAGGCCTCCTTGAACCATCTCATGCTTATTTTTCCACATTAACGACTTCACTGCTTAACATTATAACAAATCATAAACCACATTCATGATAAGAAAAAAGATATAAAGAGAGCCATAAAGAAGTAAGTGTATAGGAAAGGGAAGTAATTCACTCAGTCCTGGGGATGAGCAGTGACAGGAAAGCTTCTCAACACAGGAGACACTGGAGTTAAATTTTGAAGGATGGTGACAATAATAAATACAAAATAAAGCCAACATGGCTGAGGTTTCCATTAGATGGCTTCTCCGGGGCAGGCTCTAAAAGCACTCTACACATGTTGTGCCATTGACTCCACAATGCTGCTCTTATACTCCCATTTTACAGAGGGGGAAATCAAGGCCCAGAGAAGTTTAAGTAATTTACATGAGATGAAACATCCTATAGACGGTAGCACTGAAGGGGTCTCCAGGTCCAAAAGTAAGATTTAAAAGAGGAGAACAGCCTGGATTAAACATAGACATGGGGAAGAACACAGTGTGAGGAGGGAAAGGAGAAGAGTGAGGTTTGTTGGAATGGTGTGTGATGGGGAAGCTGGAGAGGAAGCAGAGAGCAGATCCCCTGACACGAGCTTCACAAGTCTGAGCATGCTGGAGACACCCTGAAAAGGGTTAAGCAAGAAACACGATCAGACTTGAAGGAGCAAGAGCTGGAGGGACGGGAAGAGGAAGTGAGACACAGGTGAGCAGGATTGGCCTCTGCTTGTTTTCAAAGAACCTCCTGTAAAAATGCATTCCAACTGCTCTGATTTGTTTTGTTTTCCTCAAAGCACAGACATGATTTCTAGTCACAAAAAGCCCTCTGTATCAACACTATTGTGACATGTTTCTTTTGACATCATGTCACAGAGATCACATTTTAAAGTTTTATTTGAATCACAGAATTAAGAGACCACAAAGCAGTGCCCAGGGATGCAAACCAATGCCGAGGGACAAATTCTTTGCTTAGGAAACAAACGTAGAATATCAATGATGGAAGAAGTGGATTGAGAACATTTTCTTCTTTAGAATGATCATTGTGCTACAGGAAGAGGAGACTTGCAAACAAAAGAAAAATGAGCAATTCAATGAAGCATTAATCTAAGGGAGTAACATTCTAATGAAAGCTAGGTTCTCAGAGTTCACTTGTTGAACAAATAAAATTCTGTTTACCAGTGAAGACTGATTCACACAGATGTCAGAAATTAAGCCTTGGGGTGGGGGAGCAGATTACGATAGAAACACAGGAAGTGCTTGGTAACAATCTGAGAAGTGTAGGAAGTGTTATTCTTCACCTTCATGCAAGGACTGGCTAGGTATCTCTGCCACAGGTTTAATGGGCACCAGGATAGGTGCCTGGACCTGGGCGATTTGGTTCACAATCCTCCCAGCTGCACCACTACACATTTTATCTGTTGTGTTTTACATGTTTTCAGGAAGTAAGGATGTGCTAATTATATGCCTGAGACCTACTGCACCTTGGGCTATCCTCAGCTAATATAATAGAAATGATGATGGCTCATGGCATGTAAGCAGGATCTTACTGGGATAGCTGGCAAATGAGGTAGGTGAGGGCTGGGTACCAAAAGGAGAGAGAAGAGAGTGCTAACCATGAGCATCACTGGATGCCCCTGGAAACAACCTAGGCAGACTGGGTTCACATACAGAGCAGTGACTGGCTGTGTTCAGCCCCCTGCTGGAGGCAGGGTGGAGGTCCCCAACCTGGTCACAGACCAGAAAACTCCTCTTCCATTACTTCCTTTAACGTTAAGTGAGGGACAAAGGTCTTATTAAATTCACCCTGAGTGAACAAACATTTTTTATTGTGACTTGGGCGAAGCTCTTTTTATCCAAAAAAAAAAAGGACTGATAAAGGTGCCGACTGTGGCAAGTGAACAACAGTGTTGGACCATGCAGGGGATGATTAATCAAAGAAAGAAGCATCCCAGGCAAGAAGCACCACGCTTCCCTTGCCCAGCATGATTTTAAATTTCTTTAATCATGGAGCCAGGTGTGGCTGTTAAAAATCCTCTTTCCCCTTTCACACATCAGATCTGAGGCCCTCTATCATAGATCCTAAACTCTCAGAGGGAGAGAAGATAAGTTTTTTATTTCCAGAACTATATTCAGTAAAATATGTGAGCATAATGCAGTTTGGTAATAACTAGGATATGAAGGTTCATATCATAATCTGATTTTTTTTTCAGCATAAAAGAGTAAGAGCTTCCCTATACCTTGACCATTTATCCCATATTCTCAGAGATGCATTTTTCATTACTTTTTAAAAAATACTATATCATGGCTTGCTTATTTCTCAGTTGACAGCTCCAAAATTAGTAAGTCTGGTCCCCATGCATGTGAAGTGCATTGTAAAGTCTGCTCACTAAGAGAGGAGATAAGTGACAGGACTACCACCCTACCCCACCCCACCCCACCATATTGCAGCAGACTATTCACAGCTCTCTGTATCATATTGAAATTCTCCAGTCCATTCTACACACCATGGTTATCTTTTTACAAGGTGAGTTTTATGTTCTCCAGCCTCAGGAGTCCGCTTCACCTCTTTCCATGGTCTGCAGGACCCTATGTGACCTGGCCCTGTTTACTTCCCCAGATTTATCTTGAAGATCTTTTCCTTCCATTCCTCAGCTAGTAGTTCATGCCCCTGCAGCCTTAGGAGATTGAGCTGTGGTGTGGCCTTGCCTGCACACTCAGTGTGGTCCGCTGCCTGGTTATTGTCACTTCATCTTTCAGTCTCAGCCCAAGGGACACTTCTCACAGAGACATCTCTAGTACTCCATGTGAAATCATGTCTCCCTATTATACACAATGCCATATTCTTATGCACACAACTTTTCATAATTTGAAAGTATTTTCCTGCATGCTTTTGGATTAACTGCTGTCGTTTCCACTATGCCATCAACCAAATCAGTCGTTCACCTGCTTGGAAATGGAGCTTTGGAAAGAACTATGGGGTTGGCCAAAAAGTTTGTTTGGGTTTTTCTATAAGCTGTCATGACAAACCTGAATGCCCTTTATGGCCAACTCAATAAAATATTTTCCAATGGAGTGTTTTTTAAACTGTGAGTCATAATTAATTAATGGTTGTGAAGTCAGTTTGGTTGGTTTTAACAAGCACTTAAAAAAAAAAGACTAACATAAAATAAAAGCTATTAACATGTAAGACTATTAACATTGTTTGTACATGTGTGTCTCTCTGAGTATATCTCCTGGGTTGTAATGAAAAATATTTCTTCCTGTGGGTGACAGAGAAAAAAGCCTGAAAACCATGACATTAGGGGAACCTGCTGTTTGTTCCAGAGTATTGTGTCAAATCTGCATTGAGACTTTACCTGAGCAAGGGACAGTTCTGATGTCTCCATCTAGCAAAGCATGGGAAATGCAGGACAAATATCAGCATTACAAATATCAGTTATTACTCAGCTTTGTAGAAAAAGATACTGATTCATCAAAGATGGAATCCATTTAGAAACACACAGATAGAAAATACAAATGGAAAATGCACAGGCTTTCGGCAGGCCTAGGTTTAAATATCAAATGTTAATTTAGAGCAAGTTCCTTAAAGGAAACTGAAACTCAGAGAGGATATTTGTACATAAAAAGCAAATTAGATATAACGTTTGTAAAGTAATTAGCACAAAGTGTGGCACATAGCATGGTGGTAAGGAACTTGGCTTTGGGGTTAGACTGCTTGTGCTCAAATCCCCGTTCTGCCTTTTAAAGTTTTTAAAACTAGATGCACCAAGTTATATAAGTCGCCAGCATGCCCATCTATACTGGTACATACTTCACAGGGCTGCTGGTAAGATTAAGTGCAGTTCATGTACATAAATTGCTTAAAACAGTACCTGGAAGTACCTTGAGGATAGATATTATAATCTTTGCTTTTCCACCCATGAATGTAATATAGCTCTGGTGTTAAGCAGATTAACTTATTTTATGCATTGTTTCCTATTATTTTACAGAAATGATTATATGAAGATATTTATTGACTGGTTTATAGCTGATTTACAATATTGTGTTAGTTTCAGGTCTACAGCAAAGATTTTTAGTTATATATATACATATATATATATGTGTGTGTGTGTGTG